TATATATATATATATATATATATATATATATATATATATATATATATCTCCTATTTCTTAATCATCCACCTTTTTCAAGGAGGGGACCTGTGTAATGTACAATGTAATTAAAATATAAACAACATATAAAATCAACATTAAGATATTTAAATTAAGATTAAAAAATTAAATGGTAAAATATAGCACTATAAAATTTCAGAAGTCAAATTACTTGACATAACTTTCAAATATTTAAGACAAACTTTTCAAGTTTTACCAGGTGTGGCCAATCTATAGCATCTAACTATGTATTTTGTGCCTCCAAGGCTCTTTCCAACTATGAATAATATTTCAATGTCATATTCCAAAATGTACTTCAGGGAACCTGTGGAACACCAACATAGTCCTTGTTTGCCTTATGCTTTTGTCAGTAAATTCAACTGACACCTGCAGAACCGTTTTTTTAAAGGGCAGCACTCCGTGAAAGGTAGGTCAGAATGAGCCCTTTGGGGTCAAGCCTATGGGAAAGAACTTGTTCACTGAATATGGATACACATCTGTCTTTCATACAGATAGTCCTTGACTTGTGACCACAATTGAGCCCAAAAGTTCTGTTGCTAAGTGAGAGTTGTTAAGTGAATTTTACTCCATTTTACGATCTTTCTTGCCATAGTTGTTAAGTGAATCACTGCAGTCGTTAAAAAGTTAGTAACATAGTTGTTAAGTCAATCTGGCTTCCCCATTGATTTTGCTTGTCAGAAGGTCGCAAAAGATGATTACATGACCCCAGGACACTGCAATCATCATAAATATGAGTCAGTTGCCAAGCATCTGAATTTGATCACATGACCATGGGGATGCTGAAAGGATTCTAAATGTGAAAAATAGGCGTAGGTCACTTTTTTCAGTGTTGCTGTGTAACTTTGAGTGGTCATTAAATTAATTGTTGTGAATCGAGGACTATCTATACTGCAATGTGATACTTGCAGGTACATGATTCTGATAATTTGTGCTTCAAACCCATGTGTTTATGATTATCAATTGTAAAATGTTTGCTTGAAGAACTGTTACTAGTCAAAGCAGATGTTTCTGGATTAGATGGACAAATTTGATTATTAGTCATCTCCATATGTTCATTTAAAAATCAGTCTAATACACCAGCTCTGGAAGAATGGATGGGATGATCTTAAACTGGTATCAGTTGTGTTGGGATTAAATCACTAAAAATTGAGGCCACACGTATGAATTTTCTCATTTCTTTCCTTGCTTAAAGCCTACTGCCTCGGGACATGGATCTAATGCTCTCTGCTGACTAAACAAATAATTATGCCTTCATTCATTTCTATCAAATGTACATGGTTGTGGCATACATAGTAATTCAAATGAATGTACCAATCTATGTGCTGACAAAAGAGAAAATGCTTTGGGAATTTGGCAGCAAATATATTTACTCATATCCACATGTATATTTACTCATATCCACATGCCTTCTCCATTCAAATCAAAACACAACTGAGATGAATAAATACCACAATAATATCAGCACAAATTATTTATTTAAAAAACAGTTCTAATAACAAAGTACTAGGAGTCCCAAACCCTGAAATGAAATCTTGTAGCATATTTTAATTTCATCTATTTGCCCAACCATGAATTGCCTAAGAATGGATGCTCTTGAGTGCAAAGTATTCTCAAGTATGGGGGAAAAAAACAAATTGTATTTTTTCTGTATGCTGGCAGTAAGTAATCACTCCTCCCCCTTTATCCAAGACACTTATTGGACACTACTGAATGCAGTTAACAGCTGAAACAGGTAAATGTCCCCATGTCCTCTCCTAATTCTCATCTAGAATCCACTAGAAGTTTGTGACTTTAGGCCCATGAATGTTTTACAGACCCTGGGAGTTCACAGGTATCTAAAATCCAATACAATTAACAATATACATTGGGCCAAATAAAATTATCTATAACTGCAGTAAGCCTACATGAGACATAGCGGTCAACAATTTCATCCTTCTCTCTTTTCCATCCCCAAAAATTGATCTAGAAACCAGGAGACTGTGAGTTCTAGTCCAGCCTACCTTAACCTGTTTTCTGAAAGGGAGGAACTTGAGCAAGCTTTTTTAGGAAAACAAGTGGATAGCCTCTGCACCACTACATCATACCATATTCACACAGACCGCATATAGAAATAAAAAATTAGATATTGTGCTTTATTATTATACTAAACATGAGGACATACTGCATACAATGCTATGCTCTCATCCAAAGTATGCCAACTTACAAAGAAAACTCCTCCCGCAGGCGCCTACGATATTGCTTCTTAGGTTTCATGGTGTTGAAGTAGGGAAGTTTGATGACATCTGGCCAGGCAGCTGGACACGGGCTCCCACAAAGACGGCTGCAAGGAAATATAAATACAGTTTTGAATTTCTCAATAAACATAATACTTGAACTCACTCAGTTTTATGGTTATGTTCAAATTACCCATCCAACTCCAAATAATACATTACCAACACTTGCATATCACCTTTCCCCATTATGCAATGTAGAAACCAATATCCTTTGGCATAGTGGCTAATGTGCTAGCCTAGAAAGTAGGATATTGCAAGATCTAGCTGGATGATTTTGGGTCTCTCTCTCTCTCTCTCTCTCTCCCCCACCCTCCCTCTCACTACTAATTTTTAAAGAGGAAATTCACAGAGTATACATAAATGATTTTCAATTCTGTCTAATTAAACTCAAATTTTATTTGAAATATCTCAAAGGATTCATTAATAGTTATTAGCATGGACTTTAAAACTGAAATAAAAAGAACATCAGAGAAAATAAAATGAAATATCATTTGGGCAGCAAAATTGAAATTTCCATTAGTCATCTCTAAATGCAGAAGACATATGAAGAAGAGCCTATCTTTTTTTGGTAGTATTTAAAGAACCACAGAAATGAGTTTGCTACATACAGTAGCAAACTGAACATTCTGACAAGCAGAGATGATTGATTGATTACATTTATTTGCCCTCCATCTCATATCCAACAACTCTGGGTGGCTTTTAACATAAAAAACATTGAAAAAACATTAAAATTATCAATTACAAAAACACAGAAAATAAAAAGATTTAACAGATACAATTAATGAGACAAGATAGCATAGAAGGGAACCAAACGCATGGGGGGGGAGGTGGCCTTGAGTTTTATCTACTGAATCCAGTATGGAGCTCCCCCACTGGGGTCCCAAGCCATCTGGCAGGGTCATTGTCTTGAGGTACTTTTGAAATATCCAGAGGGCTCTTCTCCTGGATCCTGTCAGCTGAAATTCCTTGGCTGACAAGATCTACATTATGGCCCCTCTGCCAGCATGGGTGAGGCAAGCCATGATTAAGATTAGCTAAAGAAGACACTTGTAGATGAATAATAAAAATGTATTTATTTATTTAACTCAAATGCTGTCCATCTCACCAATAAGGCAACTCTGGGCCCAGGCAATGGATTTCAGATTTTAGAAAAATTCCTAACAAGGATTAAGTTACTTGAGAGAAGACTTTGCAGCTGATGAAACTGCAAACATTTTTTTTTCTCAAGGATTAGCAGATGTTGACCAGCTAAATAAGTCACATAGCGATTCTTTTCCGCCCTGGCCTCTTTGTATGGTATCTAAAGGGAGTCTAAATGCCAGTTTCTGGTAATCTAACGGCATCATTAGAATCACAATTCAAAATTATAGCTAAGCTGCATATACAGAAGTCTGGGTTCCTATCTCCTGAAGAGTGGATTACCAGACTGGAGATAAAGACTCATAATATAAGATATAGTTACATAAGTTCAAAAACTTAAGAAAAGCATTTATTTTGGCATCTACGTACATTTCTAACATGAGCAATCAGCTGGTACATACTGTTTATAGATCTGATCTGGACCTAATATAATTGCTTGCAATTCTACAAAATATGACAACTGCTGGCACAGCCAAGGCAGAATACACAAACTACTTCCTGTGCCCGATCTCCTTTCTATCATTCATAGAATGCTTTACCTGATTAATTCAAGCTGGGACAACTCAAGATTAGCTTGAAAAATAGGTTTCTTTGTAAACAGTTCCCCAAGGATGCAACTAGGAAGAAAACAGAACAAGCTAAAACACCAATAGCATAAACTGGAGTATTTGGGGGGAGGGAGAGATGGCAAGCTTATCTTGGTTGCCTAAGGATCTTATTAGGTATCTAGCAAATTGCCAATGAAAGGTGCATGCAAAGGACCTATCTGTATTTACCGAGCAGCATTTCCCATTGCCTTGTGTGAGAGAGAGATCTTCATATTTTCTTCTGAAGAAAATTATTGCCATGAACAATGGTAATGTTTTAGTTCACATTTATAAAAAGAAACAATAGAATATCTTAAATACAAAAACCTGAAGGCTTTTTTTAGAAGTGAGCTCTTGCATGTGCTTGTGGCTACTGTCCAAAGAAACAGCAAAAATTTAGATTTATCATATTATTTAAGGAAGATCAAAACTAAATAGCATTTCAGCTACACAATGCTTAAACCTTGAGGTATGAACCACTGTAGGTAGTAACCACAAGTTTAAGTCAGAAACCAAAGCATGGAAGAGTCACTGGCTTACCCACAGCTCCAAACATCTATAGCTGGTGTGTAACGCTCCTCGCCTAGCAGCAATTCTGGTGGTCGATACCATAATGTAATGACTTTATTGGTATATGGACGGCTAAGTGAGAAAACAATTATAAAATACATTTAGATTCAATAATTCTGTAAAAATCAATGTTAACAGAAATATATCAGATGGTACAATCAACAGAATGGCTATTGATTATTTAAGCAGAATTTTAAATTTACAAATTTCATTTAAAATCACCCTCAAGTCCAGCCTGAAACATTCATGATGAAAAGTGATCAAGATGCAATTGCAGAACACATTTTTGTGATAGGCAGATACCTGCATATCACAGTTCAGATACAAGAAATAAACTGCCTCTGATCTCATTCCCCTCTCTACAAAGAAATCATCATCTATCAGGTGTTCAAACAGGATGCTTTCATTGATTAAAAAAAAAGATAGGTCAATGCTTTCTCTCTGATAAATTGTAAACAAAATTGGTAAAATCATTGCTTTTATTGTCAGGGATCTAAAGCTCAAAAGAATTCACTTAATGGCTTCAATAAGTTTAAGATTAAAGTGGATTATAAATGAACTATAAATTTAGTTCTAAGTCCAAGGCATAACCAAGATGATTAAAAATAGGCAAAGACAGTGCAATCAGCTCTCTCACTAATACCACTAACTCAAAAAGAGAGACAACAAAGATAATGCCTACATATTTGTTTGCAATTGAATTCAATAGGGTTTGCACAGCAACCCAAACAGGTATATTACATGTAAAATATCTAAGGTCATGCCTATGCCCCTCTTAAACATCTTACCTTTCTTCTGAACTGTAAAGTCGGGCAAGACCAAAGTCTGCCAGCTTGATCTGCCCACTGCAAAAAAAATAATTATGAACCCTTAGTAACATTTTACACAAAAGAGCAACACTGCATAAACAAGAATTACTGAATTTGCAGCAGGTACCTGTAAGTAACACTTTCAAGACATAGTAATCTCCTACAGAAGAGATTCCCTACAAAATTATCCTACAAATTTATAGATATAATCTATTTTTCAACTACATAATCTATCCTTATAGAAGCCTGGGGGCAGCAACAATGCACGGAAATACATTTTCAAGTTATTCATCAGTTCATTGATCAGTTCCCCCTTGGTGTAATAGAGCGCTAAATATGCACCAGGGGGAGTGTTACAATAGTAATGGAAGGTAATTAATAAATAGCCTCAGAATTTTTAAAATATGAGGACCAGATCCAATAGTTCTGCTGAGATCAGCTGCCCGTGGCCTTTTTTCCTCTCAGAATTATTTCCATAATGAGAGTATGAATCCAATGGGAATGCAGTATGTTTGGAAGAGTTCTCTGGGTGATATCAGATTAAAATATATTAAATAAGACAAATATTCATGACAAATCCCCCTTTGCTGTGAAAATGTATATATGAAGTCATATAGATGAACTAGATTGGATCTGGTGTCACCATAATAAGAAAGATTCGTTCTGATAGAAAACTAGCAGCTTTTTATTATAATTTATCTAGCCTATCTCACAAAAAATGACCCTAGGTGGCATGATTCTTTAACAGAAATTATGGCAAAATATATGTAACTCAAATGAACAAACAGCGTATATAAAAGATGTTTTACTTGATGGAACAATGATAGTCAGATAGATCTCCATTAGAAATGTGTTTCATGATGCTAGTACATTAATAAGTAAATTTTTGCTTTCAAATTATTACTAGAGCAGGAAAAGAATACAGAGCAAAGCATCTTCCCCATATCTCAGGAAGGGTAAGAATACAACAGACATTTTTTAAACATACTAGATACAACATTGAGAAAATAATTATTCAATTCCCATACAAAGTCATCTAATACAAAATAAATTTACATCATTACCTGTTGTTTAATAAGATGTTGGAACATTTGATATCTCGATGAAGAAAGTTTTTTTTGTGACAATAGTCCAGTCCCTCCATCAACTGCTTCATGAATGATTTGATATGGTCCTCTGAGAAATGCACCAACCCAGATTCTAGCAATCCCATGAGGTCATGGTCCATATATTCAAATACAAGATAAAAGGCACCTACCAGAAGATTAAAAAAAACCAACACCACTATTTTTATTTAAGAATTAAAATATGAACATTTAGCACATCAAATACCCTGGGAATATTCTAAAGTATATTATGCCATAAGTAGGAAAATGTAATGCCATAAATTGTGCTCTCAGAAAAAAGGATTCTAAATTGTTTAATGTTCCATTTCACTTAGTATTCATTATTGACAATTGGATCTGCATATCTAAATTGTAAAGAAATTCTAAATCCTAAGAATAGCAATATTCCTCCCCATACCTATTATTGAAGAACCTGATTATCTTACACAGCACAGAATTCCTCTCAAAATTTCACAAAGATCCTCAAGGTAAATAGGAATCTTCTTACCCAGATGTCTGTTATAAAGTAAGCCACTGGTATTTTAATATTCTAGACAAAATTAAAATATACCTCCTCACAACACATTTTTAAATGTACAGAGGATGTTTATTACTGCTAAATAAGCCAGTTAATTTGAAACGCAGGTCATAATCTCACAAACTATTTCCAAACAATCTTCTTTGACAATGAGTACCTTTGTCCTTCTTGAAATCCAGTGCATCTTGTTTGTCTGTAACGATTTCCTTCATGTTGACAACACTCCGATGAATCAACTGTCTGAGAATCTTGATTTCACGGATAGCTGTAATAGGGAAGCCTTCCTTTTCATTGTCCAGCCTTACTTTTTTCAAAGCTACCAATTCACCTGTCAAATACAGCAAATTTTAAAAGTAATAATGGTCAAACAAAACAAGAGAAATGAAAAATAGGATCTTCCTGAAACATGTCCCTGTTTGTCACTTATCTGAGTAGACAATGTCAATACAACTGGTCTGCGATTTAGGACCAACCACTTAATGACCATTCAGTTATAATAGACTTGGGAAAAAATTATTTACGACCTGTTCTCAAAATTATGACAGTCACACTCACATTCTCTGTGGTCTCATGACCAATCCTGTGATCACATGACCACAATTTGTGATATTTTTTTGTCAGTTTCCAGCAAAAAATGCCCATTCAGAAGAATGGATTTGCTTAAAGACCATGTAATTTGTTTAACAACATGGTAATTTGCATTATTTATAAAATTTATTTACTTATAAAATTTATTGGCAAATTATTTTTTATTTTTTTTAATATTACTATAAAAAGAGTTATAAAATATAGTCATGTGGTACCTTGACTTACAATTGCAACAACTTCTGACCAAAATTCCAATCTGAATTGTGATTGTAGGTACAATGAAAACTTTTATTCATAACAATGTTGGGGATATTAGATGTTATATTTCAGAACCTTTCTTCATTTCCATACTTGGAATTAATCCCATAACAGGTATTTTGAATTACTTGCCATTGAGACTAAAAGGGCAACCAGTTTGTCTTTAGTTTATTGTTACCAACTATTACAAATAAACCTCTGCTTATATAACCACAATTAAGCTCAAAATTTATATTGCTAAGCAAGACAGTTGTTAAGTAACCTGTGCCCCATTTTATGACTTTTTTGCTGCAGTTGCTGAGTGTATCACTGCAGTTGTTAAGCAAAGTTGGCTTCCTATATTAATTCTGTGTGTCAGAAGCCAACTGGGAAGGTTACAAATGATGATCCCATGACATATTTTGGTTTTAAGCCAAGGACTAACTGTATAGATCATTTGTTCCTCTATTTACAGAAGAAGTCACACTTTTATAATGAAAATAATAAAAAATCGCATGTGTCAATAAATAGCTCTCTCTCCTCTCACTCATATATATGTGTGGGGTGGTGGTGTATTATTCAGAGGAGAGAGAGATGGAACCAGGACTGCCTGCATGATGACATTCCTTGCAATGTTTGGAGAGGCCAGGCTGAGTACAATGCTGTCCCAGGTCCCTCAGGCAGTGGGGGAGATGGTCGATGGGACAGAGCTGCCTGCCCTCACAGATATGGGGGACGATTGACTGCAGAAAGTGATGTTGAGAGGCAACAGATCCCTCTGATGAGAAACAGCTGTCTCCCCCTTGTCCCGAGGACACAGAGCAGAGAGGAGGGAAGTTCAAAGGTCTGAAAGATTGCTTGGAAGAAGGCCACCTCACCCCTTCTCACAAGGAATACATGGGTTGACTTAAGCAGAAGCCAGGGGAGACTCTTTGTCAGGAACAATTGTTTGCTTTGGCTTACACTCCTCCAGCTTTGAAAAAAAAGCCTTGACTTGTTTCAGCTTGTCTTTTGCCTTGTGGACCTGCCTTGCTCTATGGACTTTGACTCTTGTGGACCTAGACCTTGCACCTAGTCTTTGGATTTCCTCTCTGCCTTTGCAAATTGATTTCATTGCTTATTGGCTTTTGTTTGTTGGACTGGGTAGCTGCCTTCAGGGAAGTGTGGGGTGAAGCCTTACTGGCCATTTTTTGTTTGTTGGGAATTTAACAGAGCAATAAAGAACTCTATTGTAGTCCATCTCTGCAAAGGTGACCTGGATCATAACATATGTATGTATGTATGTATATATGTATGTATGTAATGTTTATGTATATATATATATACACTACATACATATACACACATGCTCAGGAAAAGAAAGTTAAAAATAATCCATGTTTTTATATTCACCTGTATCCTTGTCCTTGGCTTTGTACACTTGCCCATATGTTCCCTCACCAATAATACCAATAATATCAAATTTGTCAACGCAGCGCTTTCCCCAATCACTTTCTGTCTGTCTCCTCTCACCGTAACGAGGGCAACAGATTCTGGAAGAGATGGGGGGGGGGGGGG